AAAACATTATAAAAATCTAACTCAAATCTTTAGAACCTGTGAAACAGCTATGAGTCTCTCTGATCATCTGTAGAACATCCCCTTCAACCCTAAATTCTGGGATTGCAGACAAGGCTATCATAAGCTATAGAAGGCTACTGTGCTTGAAGTAAGTTAAGGAGGAAATCATATATCCTTTGAAATGTGCAGTGGGGACAAAAATCATATTATAATTTACCATACTCCTTTTTCATTCTCTGATCTACGCAACCATCTTTTTGCACTAAAAGTTAGAAAAAACATCCTATTTCTCCAGTTCTGTAGAGAAAGGACCAGCAGGATATATGGAAGACTAAAGATTGCCAGTATAACCAAGTCAGATTTTTATCAGTCTCCTGTGCTATGGCCTTTGCATTTAAATGCCATGCTGTGAGCTTGGCGAGGCTACTTTTTAAAGTTCAACTCTCCGCAGGATTGAGAAACTTTGGAAATAGTAGTCCAAAAAAGTAACATTTCCAAACTCTGTTAACTGCCATCTTATCCATGATTTAGAGTGGCTCCATCTGTCATGTCTTCTCTATGATGCTTGGTGAGTTAGATGGGTTTGCCAGGAACAGTTTGAACCTGAAAAATAGCAAGAAGGCTGTAAGAGTGCTGTCCTCTGAAGATGCTGGCCACAGAGACTGGCGAAACGTTAGGAAGAACAACCTTCAGAACATGGCCAAAGAGCCCAAAAAACCCACAACAACCAAAGGCTGTAAGACTTTCCAGAGAGGTTAATTGGTTGAGGTATCCGAGGACAGAAATGAAGGAGCTCCGTGTCTTTGCATTATGTTCTGGGGATTTTCAAATATCTTTTGGGGGTATCATACCCCAAGGCCATTGCTGAGGCTGGGGTCCTTAGTCATGAAGTTTATCTCCATAGTTATAATAATAATTGCATGCTGTTGAGTCAGTTCTGGCTTATAGTGACCCTTTTCAGGGTTTTCTAGGTAGAAAATACACAGAAGTGGTTTACCATTCCCTTCTTCTGGGGGTGTCTCAGGATTATGCAGCTTGCCCAAGGCCACACAGACTGACTCTGCTCACAGAAGGCATAGTGGGAAATCAAATTCCCAGCTCTCTGGCTCCACACCCAGATAGCTAAACCACCGAGCTATCCAGTGAACAATGGCCATAATGGTGATGCTTAGATCCCATTTTCTTTACAGGCCATGCTTAAATTGCATTTTCATACAAGCTCCACAGTGGTGATGCTTAAATACATTTCCTTTACTTATATATGCGGATTTGAGAGCAGAGGTTGTAAAAAATCCTGGATGCCATATTTAGAAATACTATGAGAAAGGAAAGGAAAGACTGTTCTGCCTGGGGACAAAGAAAAAATACACCAATACCCACTAGGACGTGCAGAATGAATGAATTACAGGTGAGAAGATGGCTTCCAGTGCCCACTTTCCCTCAATCCCCCAAAAATAAAAAAATTAAAAGATGAAAGGAACCATATGAGACATCAGTTCGTCTGTCTCACATACAAGCACGCCACTTGCTTGAGTGAGCGGCCGGCTGATGGTAAAGTTCCGATTGCACACACGTTTACACACCCCCTCACGCCACCTCACTGCATACACACCTTGGCCTGGGGCTGTGTTTATGCCTGAGTCACAGTGGGGGAAACTGTACGTCTGGGGCCCGCCCGGCTGCAGGACAGACAGACGGTCTTCCAATGGACAAGCAGAAACTGTCTACCTGAGAAAAGTGTTCTCTCTCTCTCTCTCTCTCTCTCTCTCTCTCTCTCTCTCTCTCTCTGTGTGTGTGTGTGTGTGTGTGTGTGTGTGGTTGAGATGGAGACAGGAAGGACCTGTAAGTGTATTTTTTATAGGATCATATCCTTTTATCTACAGGTTCTGCTCTTTTGTTCCTTTTGACTTGACAGTCCCAAAAATGAACCTGGTGCATTTGACCTTAGTGCAGATGTTGAAATCCTCCTGACCACAGGCTTCTTGCTTCCAAACCTACCCTGCCCCAGTTCTGTGAAAAGATTCTGCATGAATCAAAAGCTTACACTAGTTTTATTAGGGCTTGCCAACCTTGAAATCGCAGTAAAGGGCTTGTGTTTGTTGAGCTCCTCTGAGACAAAGCCATGAATTTACAGAAAGCTTTATCTGCCAGAGAGATTTCCCATCTAAACTGCTGAATAGCTCAGTGGTTTCGGCATCAGGTTGGGAGTTCGGTTCCCCACTGTGCCTCCTTGACAGGGCCGGACTCAACGATCCACAGGGTCCCTTCCAGCTCTTCAGTTCTAAGATGATGATGATTATTTTGTCTTCCCAAAAGACGTTGGTGCGATAAAAACCTATTAATCACCCTAGCAAGCCATACTGGACGGAGCCAGAGGTAGGAATGTTGGCAATGGGCAGAAAGCAGTCTGACTCCCTTCACATCAGAGGGCATTTAGGGGAAACGAGGAACACTCATTAGCCCCACACCTTGTGGTTTCAATGGAGTGAGACAAGGCTTCCGTTTACAATGCACTGCTGACGTGAGCTGGGATTTTAATTCCTTGGCCAAGACTCAGGATTTCCAAACTGTTTGTTTTGTAAACTGCCGCACCACATTTGGTAATTCCTGCTGGTCATTCTTGCTGATCCATTAACATTTTCACAGCGCTCAGTTTGGGGCAGCCCCTGGAAAAGCCCGGATTGCATCAATTCCTTTTCTGTTTCCTTGCCAAGAAGAGACTCTGTTTACTGTATCATCCAGAGCATGTGACAACCAAGACCGGCTCAGTAACCTCTTTACCCCATCCTCCCTTGAGAGATTATATACCCCCCCCCCCATGCCATGATACCTGCACACTGCCTTCTTCCTCGTCTTGGAAGATGTTTGAGTGACATTTATAGTCAAGTTGTATCACTATGATGAACACCTTTTAGCTCTTTTGGAGGCCGAGTCAACCCTCAAACAATTATCATAAGAAAAATACGGTACCCTTACTGGTTTTGATCCCATTGTTAGCAGGAGTCTGCTAACCAGGTCGTGAAGGTCACAGATCTGTCTCTCATCTTGGAACCTGTCTTTTCCAATTGGGAGGCCTAACAATGCAGGAGCAGCTGAGGCCTTCCATATATTGCTGGTCTGCAGCTCTCAGCAGTCTCTGCCAGTATAGCTGATGGTGAGGAATCATGAAAATAGTTGGGCAATCAACATCTGCCTGAAAAGCCTTAGGCGGCATTCAGACAGGCATATAGTTTTCTACCTGGATAGTTTGGGGTGCTGTTTGGTTCGATTCAAATTATGGCAATCACAAGTGTTTTGACTTAGAGGAATCCATCTCACCCCTTTTAAGAGTTGTCCCATTCCTTTTTGGCACAGCACTAAGGGTACAGTTTATTTGGTGTGAATCAGAGCATTCCTTATTATCCCATTCTGTAGCTTGCTAACCAGGTCATGAAGGTCAGAATCCATCTCACCCCTTTTAAGAGCATTCCTTATTATCCCATTCTGTAGCCCGTGTGACTGGTTAATTCACACCAAAATAGAGCTGTGGGTGGGTGGTCTTATCTGAAGTGAAAACCTTGTGACATACTTAGTGGTTGTGGAATTGAAAGGAATGATAGAGACGCCCCCTATTCTGTTTTAATCTACTGTTTTAATTATTGATGCAGCGCTATTCTAGATATATATATTAAATTAATAATATAATACCAACTTTTACACACACACACACACACACACACACTCCCACACACACACACACAAACCTATTGCTCCACTAAATGATGGGCAGGAAAAAAAGATGAGGATGGGGGCAGAAAGAGGAATGCCAATAATTGAAAAGGGGACGATTTGGAGAGATTCAAAGGCCTGTCTGGACTCTTCTCATGGGAGAAGAAACATCAATCAGTGTGAACAGAAGGATTGCTCAAGTGCAAGATAAAATACCAAATATAAGAACCTTTTGAGGTTGAACCACACTGCTCCTACTTCCCCTGTTTGGACATGCTCTAAATTGCTTGTCCATCGTGTATACCACCCTGTATACCTCATTAGACTGAGCTGGCCCTGAAATTCTACACAAAGGCAGGAGTTAAACATGCAGTTGTTTCCAAATTCCTCCTGGTTTTTCATTTTTTAAACAAGAAGCAGTCGTAGGAGGTTGGTTTTGGAAGCAAAGAAGTAGTGGGAAGCAAGGGAGACAATAAAAATGACCTTTCTATTGCTTTTATCTACCACTTATTCCTCCCTCACTCTGGAAAAAGCAGCTTGTGGAATGTATTTTTTTTTCCTCTTGGGTAATTGGTTTGTATGCACCCCATCCACCCCTCCCCCTCCCTGCCAACAATTTTTTTAATAAAAAAAATTAGGAGAAAATTACACACGTCACTAAATAACATTAAATTTGTTTGTCTCTGATACCCACCAATCTGTAGTAAAGTGTTCTGCTATGTAGTAATATATAGACAGAAAATAGAACTCTAGTAATAACATAATGGAGCTTAGGTGCAAAATGCTCATTTACCCTAGTAGGAATCCTTGAGGCATCTTCTTTTTATACATATTTTTCATGGTAGAGAAAAGGATGCACAGGGAAGTGTGTTCCAGCCTGACTCTGATCTCTGTCCATGCTCGACCTTTGTGGTCCTGCTGTAGAATTTCTAATCTTGGGGGCCATGCTGGAGCATTTCCCTGGCAGACAGAAGGGTAACTTTAAGAGGAATCATTCATCATTAAAGTGATCCTTTCTGGTGTGATCAGGTGTCCACCTTTGCAGCTGCCTGACTGCACCCTAAGTTACAATAGTGAGAAACGGGGCCTTTACAGCTGCGGCTCCAGCAATATCTGGAAAGGGCTGGGGAATATGTGGCCCAGATGCTGTTGAATAACAGTTCACATTAGCCCTAAACAGCATAGCCAATGGTGACAGAATTTTGTTCCAAAAACATTTGAAGGGCCACAGATTAAGCATCCTTGTTCTAGATACTGTAAATGATTCAGTATCTTTCATTATGTGCCTGCAGGTCCAAAGAGGGAGTTTAAGGAGTGGACCCATACATCCCTTACCTCTGATTTGGAAGACATCCTTGGTGGATCTCAGATATCAAGTAAGAGACACATGGGAGTATGTAATGTCTAGATATGTCAACCCTAAGCGCTCCTAAGGCTTTCAGCCAGCATGATGAATTGTTGTTATGTGCCACTAAGTAGGAACCAACTTATAGAGACCTTAATGGAGTTTTCAAAGTAAGTGAGATACTTAAGGAATGGTTTCACCAGTTCCACATCTCCAGTTTCCATGACTGAGCAGAGATTTGAACCCAGGCCTCCTGAGTCTGTTGCTCTGTCCTCTACCACACTGGGCACCTGCTGAATTGTACTCCAAACATGGTATAATTTTAACTTTGGCCTACTGATGATTGCATTTTTATTGGATTAATAAAAAAATCAACATCACCTTTGTTTACTGTGACTCAAGGGCTGAATCTTTAGAAATAGTCATTGACCATATCCACCACTGAATAGGATGGATTTTTTCTGAGGTAAAGTCAGTTGGCCCTCAGAGGGTAAATTGTTTTAAAGCCATTAATATCATCCATGTTGATGACAAACAGGTCTGTCTGAACCATTAACCAAGTTCAGTGCAAACATTCATCGTCCACTACTGCTTGCATAGTCCCTATATATTTTGCAGAGGAGCAGCAAAATTCGTTTTCAAGGCAATGTTCCCGGAAGAACATCTAAACAATTTCAAGGAAAGTCAGAAGAACTTTGGGAAGATAAAATTGAAAGGATTTGGGTGTTGGGATGAGACAAGACTTTTTCTGCTCCTATGAATGGCATTACCAGATTTTGCCCCAAGTCTAATTCAAAGCAGGTTTTTCCTCACACCAAACACTGACAGAATGTTAAAGAAACCCCATGTGAGTGTGGGGGAAGGCTAGGGCTGTTGTATTTTCGACATATGGGAAGATAAGACTCACTGAAAATGTTAAGAAAAGTGGCCAGCAGTAGGAAAAGAAGAAGAACCAGTATGAGCGAGATTGAGTCAATAAAGAAAGGCATGGCTTTAGTTAGCAAGTGAAGAGCAGGGCTATTAATGGCAGGGCCTTTTGAGCAGAGCTATTAATGACAGGTCCATTAATTCACATGGTTTCTGAAGGAGTGACTTCACAACACGTAAAAGTATGCTTATTAAGTAGAGGGAGGTACCAATGGATTTTATGCCCTCGGCATCAACATGTCTTAGGAGTGGTCCCTGTGGGCAAGTGTTTTGTATGAAGAGAGTGAGACAGAGAATCTCCTTGCCTTCAGGCACTGGGAAATCCCTCTTGAATTCCATCTTGCACACAATGGCATGATATCTTGAAGTAAAATCATCAAGGGAAGATGTCTTCCATTGTGATACTGAAAAATAACACTCCTGTTGGCAGGCATAAGCAGGAGCAAAGCTGTTCCCACCTTCCCCAAGCTATATCGCAAAGATAATCACAGTGCTCCCCCTGCTTGGGTACATGGTACATGAAAGTACACTTCATAATACAACACCATAGTATATAGAATAGGCAATAAATAGAAATGTGCTCCTCTCCAGTTCCATCCCCATATTCCCCATTGCTCTGGGGCACATGTGTGTGGGACTCTCTCCTTTCTTCCTGCCGCACACCTGCCCTCCCCCCCCAACCTCCCTGGCAGAGACGTTTCTGACCTATGTTTTCCGTTGCTTTCGTGCGTTGTTATGGAGAGCAGAACGTTTATGAAGCCTCAGCCGACACACAGGCCCCATTCACAGCACTGAAGCTAATTCCAAGGATCTGGCATTTATGCTCTTTTCTTTGGAGTCTCTGGGGGAGCAACGCTCTCCCCATCCCACATCCCACCCCACCCGTGACCCCTCGGTACTGCAGTTTCTCCCAATAGGGACACTATAGACGGCCTCTGACAGCGCCTCCTACTGTGTGTGAAGGAGAACTGAGAAGTCGTTCACCTGCATCTGTCTCTTATATGCACAAACATATACATAAACCTCCCCAGGTAGGGATGCTACCTCCCTTTCCTGCCTTTTCTTGCAAAACTGTTGTTGTTATCTTCTGTTAAATTACTTCAGTTTTAACAGTGTTTTCAAGGTATGTTGGATGTTCAAGGAGTGGTTTACCTTTGCTCCCTTCCCGTGAGTTTCCATGGCTAGGTGGGGGTCTGAACCAGGTCTCCTAGGGTCCTAATCTGACTATCCACAATGCCCCATGGACTCTTGTGTCTTTAAAAAAATAAGTGGCAGGTAGAAATTCAGCAGATGCCAATACCTCAATATAGAGATACTGTGATGGGGAAGATATTATTAGTTACATTTCTACCTCTTGGATGGTTCTTGAAAGCCCTTTTACAAAACAAGAACCACATTCCCATTGAGAATTACTACCTGGCTGGTTTGTTATTTTTGCTTATTCTCATGGAAAATATCCATCGCGTTCTCCCATGGAATAATGGGCCTGTGGGTGAGTAACCACATGATGGCAGTGTGGGGCAGCGTGGACTAAAAGGTATAGAGCAGGTTACACATCAAACAGTGAGGCCACTCCAGACCAGGAAGTTGGAGTGGTCTGGTTCACACTTAAAGGTTCTTATGATTAGTATGATCTATTTTATTTCTTACTTCAGCCATCCTTTCCTTCACACCGATGGACTTTTCTTCTCCTGTGAGAAGGGTCCAGATGGGTCTTTGAATTGTTCTAATTTGTTCCCGTTTCAATTAACAACACTCCCCTCCCCACCCCCTTCTCTGCCTTTTCGCATGGCCATCATTCAGCAGGCTGTGGGGAATTTCCTCCTTTCTTGGGGGTGGGAGGTAAATAAAATGACATAGCAAAACAACTATGCATCTACCTAGCATGGTACACATAATGCTGCCAATGCATCTTGTGTATTAGAACAGCACTGCATCAATAGAAAAATATATTTTAGAAATTAAGACCTTAGAGTAGATGAAAATAGAAGTCTTTGTTGTCCCTTTCAACGGCACAACCCACCAAATGCATCACAGAGTTGTCACCTCTATTATACACCTATAGCAAACTAACTATCCTCGGGGGTTACAGAATGGGATAATCAGGAGTGCTCTGAATCACACACACAAAAAAGCTTATAGCCCTAATGTTGTACCAAAAAAGGAGTGGGGCAGCTCTTAAAAAAGGGATGAGATGGATTGCTCTAAGTCAGTGGTTCTTAACCTTGGGTTACTCAGGTGTTTTTTGACTGCAACTCCCAGAAGCCTTCACCACCAGCTGTGCTGGCTAGGGTTTCTGGGAGTTGTAGTTCAAAAGCACCTGAGTAACCCAAGGTTAAGAACCACTGCTCTAAGTAAAAACCTATGTGGATGCTGTAATTTGATTCAAACCAAAGAGCACCAAAATCCAATTATATACCCATCTGAATACATCCTAAGTTTTCAAAAGTGGCACAGTTCAGGTACTTGAAATGGTACAGGTGGAGGTTTTTGTTGTTGTTGTTGTTTTTTGTTTGGGTTTGTCCCCCCCCCCAGTCCCAGCACGTTCCTATGGGGCTTGCAGTGTTTTTTTGGGGGGGGTATTTTTCCCCTTCAGCCGGAACGGATTAATCAGTTCTCAGTGCATTCCTATGTTGCTTTGACTTATGAACATTTCGAGTTATGGACACTGTTCCAATATGAATTAAGTTCGTACGTCAAGATACCACTGTATCAGATTTCCTTCATCACCTCCTACTGGGAGTCAAGGGATTTGAAATAACTCTCTGACCTGATCTGCTTCTCTTTAGGGTTTAGCATGTTTCTAGATGAGGTGCTCCATCTGTGACAACCATTTGTTATAGTACATGACTTTCCTCATTTGTGTATCTTGCATAGCATTAATAGTTTAATGACTGGACATTAGAAAGGAAACATGTGTAAGTCTGGTTGCTGACGAGTATACCTCTGAGGGAGTGCCATAGTTGGAGAGAAATCAGGTTAATCATAGGAAATACACATTCTCCTGCTGTCTATTTTGACCTTTTGCTCATCCTGCCCAAACTCAAATTGAGGGAGAGGAACACTGATAAAATGAAGTCCTTCCTAGGAGTACAGAGTTAAACTGTGGCATTTTCTACAAGAATGTGTTTATTTATTTATTTAAAATATTTCCCCCCTCCCCTTTCTCCTTAAAGGGGACGCAAGGCAGCTTACATCATTAAAAGACAATATTTGAAAGCTAAAAACAGCATGTATCCAAATATTAAAAAGAATCAAATAACACACTAAAAATGGTCAACAAAATCAACACCAAAATTAAATTCAAAGCAACAAGGCATAACACTCTGTTTAAAAACACTGTCAAATAGTATGTCTGAAGAGAAAGGTCTTCATCTACTTGCAGAAGGACTGCAAAGAGGGGGCCAGCCTGGTCTCTTGTGGGAGGGAGTTCCATAGTCTGAGTGCAGTGACAGAGAAAGCCCTGTCAAATAACACACTAAAATGGTAAACAAAATCAACACCAAAATTAAATTCAAAACAACAAGGCATAACACTCTGTTTAAAAACACTGTCAAATAGTGTGTCTGAAGAGAAAGGTCTTCATCTACTTGCAGAAGGACTGCAAAGAGGGGGCCAGCCTGGCCTCTTGTGGGAGGGAGTTCCATAGTCTGAGTGCAGTGACAGAGAAAGCCCTCTCCTGTATCTCCACCAAGTGCACCTGTGAGGGTGGTGGGACCATGAAAAACACCTTACCTGAGTATCTTAAGACCTGGACAGGCTCATAAAGGGAGACACAGCCCTTGAGATAGCTTGGGCCCAAATTGTTTAGGGCTTTATAGATTAACATTTTATTTTCACAACAGCCTTGCAGGATAGGCTTTATAGATTAACATTTGTAGGTTAAAATCTGACCTGCAGTTTAGACAACTTTAAAGGTAAAAGCCATGGGGAATAACGTTATGGCTACTAGTCGCAATGGCAGTATGTTACTTCTAATGTCAGGAACAGTTTCCTCTGAACATTAGTTGCTAGGCAATAAGAGTGGATAGTGCTTCTGTGCTTCTATATTTCTTATATTTCCCCCCTCTTCCTTCATCTAGGCTGGTTACATGGGTTTTCGCT